GACCTATCACAAGAATATTTTTTTTATTGGGGCGATAATTCTGAAAAGCCAGATTTCCTATCTTTTCTTTCATCTCGGGTGAAATACGATCGGGGGGGGCTAATTCAAACCCCTCCGGTAAAATAAGAACAGCTCCCACATTCAAAGCTCCTTTTTTCCCATTAGCTAGAACTTGTTTTAGTTGCATATCATAAGGAATTTTAACAACTGCTTCAAATACAGTATCAGGAAGTACCGCCTGTGGAACCTCAATATCCACGGGCTTACTAGCTAAATGGCAATTGGCACATACAATACGCCCAGTTGCCTCTCGTGGATTTTCATAATTCTGCTGGGCAAAAATCGGATATGCACTTGAAATGGATGCCCAAGTTATTATTATTATATATATCATGAGTGAGACAGATATGGAGCGAGTAATCTCTTCCCTTATCCAAGAAAAGGTATTTCTAGTTTGCATGGTCCAATCATTTTTCCCGAAAATTGCTACAATAAAGTTAGGTAGGTCGATAATATACTTCCCTAGCCACAATTCTGCTATTTACATTTACTGAAAAAAAAATTTGTTGAAATATACAAGGAATCCCTCAGGGGTAAAAAGAGTAAAGTAAATACGACTTTGATTTGGTTATGATGTATAAATTAGAATTTGATCAGTGAATCATTTTTTAGTCATTTATTGCATGATAAATCACTACAAGTGAGGAGATACACGATTTAAATAACGAAAGATCCAATATTTAAAAATTGTATCAAGAATGACTGGAAAGGTAGAAACAAGACCAGATAAAATTTGCTCATAATGAGCAAATCCAAAATCTTTGTAAATATAACCAATCATGAGTTCCCAACCATGAGGCGAATGAAATCCGATACATAAATCGGTTAATAAAAGAATCGAAAAAGCTTTAATTGTATCACTTAAATTATATAGGAATTCTTGAACCCAAGAATTCAGAAGAAAAAGCTTTTCCTTACCCCAAAAGGAATAACCACTTAGAATAACGAAAGATATTAGATTTGTCGAGAAGTGCAAGATTGTATGGATACGATACTCATTGTGTATCTTGATAAATTGGATGGTTTCTTTGTGGATTCCTAGACGAAATTGGTGTAAATCGGTTTCTGGGTATTCCTTTATTATTTCATCCAGCTGGAATAGTTCCTCTAATTGTATGAATTTTTCTAGAACACTTTTTTCTTGAATATCATTCAAAAAAGTTTCGCATTGTCTAGTATTCCACCAATTAGTAATCCAAGTTTTCAAACTTTTCTTACAGCAGAGAGAGATCAACCCGGGCAAAAAGACTATAGATGTAAAAAAAAAAAAGGAATGAATGCTTTCTGTTTTGGCATTTTGAATCTGTGAATTTTTAATGAACCTACCGCACTTGTTGATTCTATTAGATCGAGTATTTATATCGAGCATGAGTTTCTATTCTAATTAGAATGTATTGAGCCTATGAATCCATTTTCTCTTTTTCTTTTGATTCAATAATGAGTCTTTGCTTTGAATCTAGAAAGAATACAGAAATAGACTCAGAATACACTTCCAATTTGAATCAAGAAAAAATGCGATTTCCAGGATGTTATTCTCCCTTTTTTTGAGCAATACTAAAAGAACTTTTTTAAATTTTTCAAATAAAAAAGATTATTTTATTTTCGAAACGAAGAAACTCCCTTTCTTTTCTATCAAATATATCAAAAAAAATGAGCATAAAAGAATAGATGAATATTCAATAAAAAAAAAAACAAAGAAATTCTCTCATCTTTTCTTCCTACTGCCAAAACATTTAGTCTTTAAAAAAAAAATGAATTTCAAAATACTTCAATTGGTACACGCAAGAAGTAAGCCAATTCAGCAGCTTTTTGCTCAATTTCTCGTGTAGTAAAATTCTCATCAGTACGAATTAAAGGAATAGCCCCTTGACCTCGAATTTCCATATAAAGGACACGCCGAGCAGAAACACCCTCTTTAACTTCTATTCTGATGGACTGAATATCTTTCATAAGGAATCGTAAAAAGATGCGACGACTTTTTCCAGGAAATCCCCAACGAAAAATACGCACTATTCCTTCTTTTCGGTCGAAAAGATCATAACCACTACCCACATTCCACAAAATAGTGCACCACAAATAGCAACTAATAAAGAGACCTGCGATCCCATAGAAAGACATTACAATCCCTTGTGGAAAAAAAACGATTTGCTGAGACGCAAATAACGATATCAAATTTCTACCAAGATAACTGGAAGTTCCAACCAATAAGAATCCTAATGAACCTAAAAATAAGATAAAGGCCCAGCAGAAATTACTTGTTTTTCGAGACCCCGTTATGAATTCTATCCATATAGATTCTGATCGCCAACTCATATATATTAGATCCAGTTATACAATTTTTTGGAATTGAGAAAATATGACTTTCCTTTTTTGTTTTCAAAATAATTCTCATGAACTATTTTGTTGTGAACCTTTACCTTAGGAGTAATTCATAGAATTGTTTCTATCTAAAATAAGAACATCTCCTTCCTTTATATGATCTTAACTATATAGATAAAAAATAGATAAAAATCAATATATTAGATTTGAATTTCATACATAGGCCCGATGGTAATCTATTTTTGAAAAGAGCGCAAATTTTTTACCCATATAATACGTTTACACATGCATAAGGGCTTTTTTTAGTTATGTTTGTAGGAATCTATGTATTATACAATATTCTACTAAATGGGTCTTATCAAATCGAAGCTTTTAAAATCAAAAAGGAGTGATACAATTAGGTCTCATCCGATCTAAAAAATCTTATTTTTTTGAATATGAAGAAATAAAGAAGCCATTGCAAGTGCCGGAAAGACTAGGCCTACTAAAGGCACAAAAATAGAGGGTAAGTTATTGAAAGTTGTCATAAAATGGGTACCTCAATTTAATATTTGTACCTGTTATTGTTATATTCTGAATTCTAAAGATATCTTAGAATATTTTGTATTTTTATTATTTCTATTATATATATTATATAATTATACTAAGTATCTTTAAGTAAATATATATCTAATACTAATATAGATATAGAACCTAATAGAAATATAATAAAAAAATAGGTACAAGAAACGCCAAACAAAATAAATGGACTTATTCATCTTTCAAAATAACATAGATGTATCATAGTCCCCTTGTTAGATTTATTATTCTTTTTGTTATTTTTGTCTTCTCATTAATAAAGAAACAATTTTATTCCATTACAAATTTCTAAAAAATTGATTAGAATCTGATCCCACAACAGGGAATTCTCGGGAAATGCAAAAAGATGAAAGACTCTCTATCGATCTGTATATCTCTCTATTTGAATTATCTATACATATGCAAGCAAGAGAGGAAAATTCATTTTTCGGGGTTTTCGTTTAATTCTGATAAACTAACTGTTCTATTTGCTTTAATTTTTGTTCAAAGGAAAAAAAGCATGGAGCTGAAATAACTCACTCACAACACCTTTTAAAGGATTACGTGGTACAATTGCATCCAATAAGCCCTTACGTAATAAAGATTCAGCTGCTTGTGAACCCTCAGGCACGGCTTTTTTCAATGTTTGTTCAATTACTCTTTTACCCGCAAATGCAATATAGGCATAGGGTTCGGCAATAATGATATCCCCCAACATACCAAAACTAGCTGTCACCCCACCGGTAGTAGGCGATGTAAGAATTGATATATAGAATAACTTTTTACTTGATTGATAATCACATAAAACCGAAGAAATTTTAGCCATTTGCATCAAACTTAAACTTCCTTCTTGCATTCGTGCTCCTCCGGAAGAACACACTAAAATAAGAGGTAAACATTGATTGGTAGCATACTCGATCAAACGAGTTATTTTTTCGCCTACTACTGATCCCATACTACCCCCCATAAATTGAAAATCCATAACCCCAAGGGCTACCGGAATACCATTTAGTTGACCTGTACCTGTTTGAACAGCGTCAGTCAATCCTGTCGTTTTTTGAGCGGAGTCAATACGATTTTTATAAGGTTCCTCCCTCGAATGAAATTTAATGGGATCCGCAGAGACCATGTCTTCATCCATAGGATTCCAAGTACCCGGATCAATCGAAAGCTCGATTCTCTCTGAACTAGTCATTTTCAAATAATGTCCACATTCTTCACAAACATTCATTTCGACTTTCTTATACATTAATCCATAACAATTGTCGCATTGAATCCACAATTGATTGTAGTTTTTAGTTATATCGAAATCCTTAGAACTCATTAAATTACTACGATTCCTATTAGTTCTTATCTTGTCATTTTTGCTTTCGCGAATCTTTCCACTTTCACTACAAATGAAATTATAAATGTAACTTTCATTGGAATTATTACTCTCACTTAAAAAGTGACTATCAATACAGATGTGAGAACGAAAATAAGAGTCAATGCAACTATTCATGTGATTATTACAATTATATTTAGTATCCTTAATGTAAGGATCATAGTGCAGATCCTTGTCACTTTTAGATCTATTATTCAGATAACTAGAACTACAATAACTATAAAAAAAAAATTCTAGGTCACTCAAATCCGTGTTAATCTCAAATTTTTTTTTTTTTTTATCAAAATATATAGAATAACAATTCTTATTACTATCCCTAACAAAAAAGGTGTCATCCGATATGAAATTCCGAATGTCTTTGGCGCTAACTAAAAGATCAACCTTATTGTTAGAACGCTCACCCCAACCATAAAAGTGTTTATCCATCTCATATATAAACCGGTCTTTATATATAGTAGTCTTTTGAATAGGAGCAAAACTATCCATTGCTTTACTTAGCTCGCCTCCGTATTCCAATTCTCCCTTAGAAAACATCAAATTGAACCACGATTTTTCCATAGAGCTTTTGGCCTCTATTTACATGAAAATACAATAACAATAGATGAATAGTCATTCAATGAAGACTCCGGGAGCGATCTCTTGCAGAAGAACTCATGGTGCGGCAACAACTTGTATCGAGTTATGAGATCAAATGCACCGCCCAATTCTCTTGGTCCTGCAGTGAAAAATTACAGAAGCTCATTGGAGAATCGTTGAGATTAAGATGGTGAAACAGAGTGATGCATAAGATTTTAAGATAATAGCTAAAGCTTGAACAAAGTTTTACCTCCAAACTTGACGCTCTCTGATTCCATATCCGAATTTGCACAACGAATAGCTTTGCCGCGATCAACTGCAATTTTGTAGCTAAAGAAAGAAGAAGAAGCAAAGGAAAAATCAAATCACAGAGTCAGTGAGAGAGAGAGAGAAGAAAAACAAACAAACAAAGAAAGGCGAAGCAGCGACTAACCACTGGCGTACACGTTTTCACAGGGCAGATCTCATCGCAAGTCCGATTTAGAAACCCTAATCAGCAAAACTGAAACACCTCTTCGATTTTCCCAATCGGAATTTGTTCGGCGGTGAGGACAGGTATCGAGGAGAGCGGAAGTAACAATGGGGGTTGAAGATTAATCGCTATTTCTTCTTCTTCTTTCTTTTTATTTACTGTATGTGATTCACCCGTTTTTTAACAAAAGGTTCTTCGTGGCCTTCACGCGCCTCTTGAAGCGTTGACCAGTGTGGTGGATCCATAATTCCATATGCAAATCCGATTTTAACCTCGCAATCTTGTCGGGACGAACTTCGTTTTTTTTTTGTTAATCTACTTTTTCAATAACTCACGCGATACTATGTTTATTCCTTGAGTTTATATACATTGAATGGTTGATCTCATCATCAATTTTAGCCACTACTTGGTACTAGCTATTTGTGGAAATTTTGTCATTATACAATCCCTACTTATGTAGTAGCCAAATGCGTGCGTATATTTCCAGTGTCAAATACGTGGTCATTTTTTTTGTCTACGAATTTAGTTTGACCAAGATTTAGTGACCATCTCTGACTAAAACAAAAAACGTCACAAATTTAAGGTTTTTGTCGTAGAAACCAATATATGTAGCTAAAACCTAATCTTCTAGCTATTAGCATTGGGGGGCTTCATACATGAGTTGGAAAATTTGTTGGGATATTCTCACAACAAGTTTGTTTTACGTTTAAAACCCGTCTCTAACACTTAAGCTCTTTTGACCAACCAGGAGTATCTTAATAGATGATGCACATATAAAGATCACAGAAGCGTTACACTAATGCATTTACACACTTAGCCATATTTTTGCTATATCGCACTGACGAGAGAACGATTGCGACTTTATGGAACAAGGCCCTAGTTTGGCCTGATACAACAGTTAATGTAGGTCAGGATCCTCTTCTTCTTCTGCATGATAATAAAATTCGTAATGTAAGAGATAGAGTAATACTCTACATGTAGGTTGTATAAAGGAAACACGCTACCTATTGATACCTTTCATATACATTCATGAGAGTATTATGAAAATGAAGAACAAAACAGAAAATGGAGTTTTCATCGCTAGAAAATAGGAGATATGGGAATTGAATCACATGCACTCCGTCCATGCCTGCCCCTTTAAAGTTGGAGGCTCCAAGCAAAAGCTACTTGTGTAACTCCCATTAGTTTTTAATATATGATTAAAAGAAATGAAGATATAGTGACTTGAATCCGCAACACCCAGTGGGGGAAAAAAGATTGATATGTTACCTGACTATGTAAATGGAATTAAATATGTTCCCAAAATTTAAATAACTTCTATGGGGTGTAACTAAGTGATGGCCGTATATGTCAGAAAAGTCAAGCCAAATTAATGGTAAAAGTATGGCTAAGTTTTTTGTGATTTGGTGAAATGTTATACCACCTTGTGATGATCCATGCGCGTTGACTAAGGGGAAACGGATCATCACAAGGTGAATATATATATATATATATATATGAAACACTCAAACACAGAATGCATACAAGAGTGAGTAGGAAGAGAGAGAGAGAGAGAGAGAGAGAGAGAGAGAGAGAGAGAGAGAGAGAGAGAGAGATGTTAATTACCATGACAGGGTCATCGTCTTGGGTTTGACGGCGATGGTGATGTTGCTGGTGGTGGTGACGAGCACTTGCCAGGAGTTCTTGTTCGCTTCCCAAACTAAAAGGTCTCAAACCAGCTTTGTTCTGCTTCTTGTTAGCGCGAGCTTTGGAGAACACAACCGAGTAGTTTGTTGCGTCTGGTCCTGTTTGGTCCCACCCTCCGAACTGTGGCACTGGAGTCCATCCATCATTCTGTACACATCCATTATGAAACCTCGTTAGTTTGTTTTAGGAACCAATCATTTTAACAAGAAACTAAGCAGAGACGAAACAAGTATTGAGATGTTGAGATTGCATCGGTTAATTTTCCCCATTCTACAAACGCGCATTAACCGATGGAAGCTCAACATCTCATTTTCGAAAATCATGCTAAGTCAAGAATCACATGATTTGGATAAAAGAAAGAAAAAAAACATGAAATTTATTAATTCAGAAAACATGCCTCCCTCCTCTTTTCCATTAATAGTTATTTGCTTTGTTTAGAAGAAAGAGGTTCTTAAACATTGATGAAGGCGTGCATGGTGAGGAGGAGGACGAAATCTCTTGAAAAACCCTACTTTTTCCTTTATAGTAAGATGCTTGTGATTCACGATTCCTTTTGGAGCAGATTTAGGTCGTTTTCTAAACTTGGGGGATTTCAACCAATGGTGTCCCGTTTAATGCGGGATATTATTAAGTAATAGTAACTTTGCATCCTTCTGGAAAAGGCTGTTAAAGACAATACAGAGACGAAACACAAAAACTAAAACAAACTTGTTATCATATTGTTGTAAGTAAGTTTAGTTCTGGCCCATCTCTGCTGGTTTTCGCTCATTTGGTGAATGAATCTTTTTTTGACTTCCTTGATTGGTGTGTGTCTGTTCATGAAAGCACTTTAACAGAACCTGAAATAAAATGCAGAATACAATACACACGGCATGAAGCTAGGACATAGCCAGAGTATCTACTATTTTAATCTATAGAGTGAGCTTTCACCTAACAAGCATCAGATAGGAAAAAGACAGTAGCATCCTTATGAGCAATCTCCATTCCTTAGGCGTTTGTATAGATCCAAGTAACCAGATGATTCTGGTCTGATGAACCTGCATCCACAAATTGGAACAGAGTAGTTTCAGAAATCCAGTGTCAAAGCATATGTTTTTCTGTTATTCTGACTTTAACATGTGTAATGGTCTCTGCTCATAAGCTGTGAATCTACTATGCATAGTCCACAACATGTACAACAACCCTTTTTTATCTAACTGTTCTTACACAACTCCCTGATCCAAACCCTCCTATATCGATATTACCAAATCCAAGGCAGGTATGTTCTTCAGGGCAGAAAGTATTTAGTTTTGAGAATATAAACGCAAGTAATTTGTTTCTTTTAAGTAGAAACTATGGGAGATAGGAGTTACTAGTACCCGTGGCGAAACAAGAAGTCAATAATGACAAGGGAACAGTTGGCCTTGAAAAAACTAGTCTTCCGAATCACATTAGCAACTTGAGCTACTGGAATCAACTTGAAGCTCTCAACCTCTCCATCTGCAATGAAAAATGCATATCTCTCCATAAGAAAAGCAATTCAGGATTGCTCGCTCATGCATGCCTTACTAGTGAATGCCTAACCTTGGTTTTGGGGAACAAAGTCTTCAGGGAGTTTCAAATCATAACAAAACAGCACATCACGTTTGAAGCAGTGCTTATCGATATCCATGTATGAAACAGCACCGACCGCTATCGCCCTGTAAATATGCAAAAAGTTGAAAACATCAAGAAAGCTATACATCACATACTACTTTGTTTAAAGACTTGAGGAAAAAGTCTTAACCTTTCAGCAATAACTTTGGAAATCCCAGCTTCTTCTTCGCATTCCTTTACTACGTTCTCACCGCAGCTTATCCCATGAGGCTATGGTTCCCACAAATGAGAATTATAATCAATCACTAGTATAGAGTTTGTAAATCATGATGAATTACTTCTTACCAATCCTCCAGCAACAAGATGATCAAGCATTCCTGGATAAGTGGATTTTGTGAGGCTTCTCTTACCTATCCATAGAAACTTCTCTCCATCTCTTTCTACATAACCATTCATGTGAATTCCGTAACCCTAGAACAGATAACAAGAGAGCCACGTATTTATGGAAGAGCATCTAAATATGGTGTTCATTTCTACAAGCTGAAACAAACTCAGTGTGAGTATGGTTATACCTTTAATCCGAAATAAGGAGCAGCAGCACGCTCTAGCGAAAACAAGACGGGAGCATCAAATGATGGTTTCACAGGATACAGCTGGTGAAGAAGAAGAAGAAAAAAGATCAACAGAATGAAGAAGACAGCTACAAATGATAAAACCTAAAATGAAGCATCTTTGGTGAGTGTTAACTAGGAGATGAAGTCAAACATTGACACATGACATACCTCATTTCGTATACCTGGAATGATTCCTTTGTCAGCCAAGATTTTGATTACATCTGCAACTGCTCTGGTTCTGTCTTCAGGCTTTTCAAGCATCGGATTAAGTGTTACATAGCCACCAACGCGGTCGGGGGCAGAAACATTAAAAATATCAGCAAAGTCCCTCAAGTACTCTGTAAATCTGTTTCAATGTATAGACAAACCATTTGAGCGCATTCAAATTCGAGATTTCTGCCAAAACTAGCTTGAGAATCTCATGAAAGAAAGTCCAAAATTGAGAATCACAAAAGCAGCAGAGAAGAGATAGCTTACTCATTGTGAATGTAACCAACGATTTGTTCCTCTATAACAAAGGGAATGAAGTCAGCTACTTTTTCCTGACAAAAAATTGAATTCCATACAAAGAAAAGCTAACGTTTTTTCAGCTTTTTCCATTTGTCAATTTCACTCTCCTATGAACGAAAGAAGCAATCATCGAATTCAGTGGACTTACGGATCCGCGATTGCAATGCTCGACTTTCTCGAGAAATCCGTTGAGGTCTGAGGAGGAGTTGTGAGGCGCATA